AGTGGATGTCCACTCGGGGGGGCACGCAGTCCAAGTTACCTCCGTTAGTGTAAGAACCTGAAGGAGACACAATTGAGTGTTAGTCCATGTCAAGTGTTTAGTGGGGGGGTTATGAGAGAAAAAAAATCCTGCTTTAATAGCTTGTGTACAGCCGGTATACCTCAACTCAACTTCATTTATCGAGCACTTTAAAACAACCGTTATTCTACCTGGGAAGTTTTTTAATCCCGGAAGAGCTGATCCATTCAAGATGTCCAATTCTGGTACCGAGTACATGTGAATCTGTGAGAATGACAAAAATGCGTTAACACTTTGATAGTCATAGTTACTGGTAAAAGGTAACAATGAAACAGTCTGTCATGATAACAAGTGATGACACGCATGTGGTTGGTTGCAAGTCCAAATCAGGTGCGGTTCCAGGTCAAAATCTTGTGGCGTTTTAGGTTCACATCCAATGCGGTTCGCAGTCTAAACCTATGTGGATCCGACTCCAAACTTTGTATGGTTGCTGGTCCAAATAACATGCGGTTCCTGGTCGAAATCCTATTACCGAAATCCAATGTGGCTCCTGGACCGAATTCTTGGGTCCAGGTCCAAATACAATGTGTAACCATTTTCCAATTCAATTTGGTTCTAGGTACAAATTCTATGTTTAGAAAGGTCCACATCCTTATTGTTTTTTGATTGAAATCCTACGCGGGTTTAGGTTCAAATCCTTTAATTCAAATTCACTCCTATTCAAGGTACTGTACAAAGTTTATGTAGTCCCTGGTGCAACTCATTTGAAACAATGTCCAAATCCTTTCTAAAACCAACTCCATATTCTTTTGTTCCAGGTCCGCACCCAGTTTGGTTCATGGTCCACATCCCATATGGTTTCTACTCCAAATCCTATCTAAAACCACCTCCATTTAGCATTTGGTTCCACTGTCCATGCAGTATGTGCTTCCTGTTCCACATCCTATGCTCAAAATTCATTGCAGTTTCAGGGTCAAATCCCATGTGGTTCCCGGTCCTTCTCCTGTGTGGTTCTCGGTTCAAATCCTCAAAGCGCAGTTTGGCGCATGTTGCGGCACGCGATCGCACACGTGGCTGTGTTTAAAAAACCCCCAACAAAGCCTCTCAGTGTGTCACTTGCCTCCAAAGACAACAAATCAGGTCCAGATAGCACAGAACAATGGGCTCCCTCATCCCAACTTCCAGGTTATGTGTGTGTGTGTGTGTGTGTGTGTGTGTGTGTGTGTGTGTGTGTGTGTGTGTGTGTGTGTAATGCCCAATCCTGCTGGATCAAACTCTGTAAACACAATTTCTTCATGCAAAAACAGCCTGGAAGGTAGTCTGTATAAAATTCAAGGAGATGGGCACAAATACAGAAGAAATGTCTCAACTGGTTCTAATTGAACGAAAGGACAACATGTGTGGCTCGTTTGGGACAGGTGCGCTCTTATTTTTCTTGGTCCTGATACTTATGAGGCAACATTGCTTCCTGGAAAAGGCCACAAAAACAAACAAAATGAGCGCAGAGTCGGAATAAGACTCCATTGATTGTTACTGCTCATGGTTTGTGATAGTTTAAAAATTTTCAACCACGTCTGAGTCAAAGGATAAAATGTGGTTTGTTCGAAAAATGTGTGCAATTACTTGTCTTCGTCCCAAACACTTAGGAGGAAAAAAATATCTTCCCACAAATACAGGCAAAATTAGTGCGTATGCGAAATAATTGCAAATAAAGCTTCCTATAAGTGTTACACTGTTGTACCTTGGCTCCCTGGACACCTTTGGCGGAATGAGTCTTGACGTGTTTCCGCAGAGAGCTTGGGTCGGTGTAGCGCTTGGTGCAGCCCGGGATTTGGCATGCGTATGGCTTCTGTGAGAAAAAAAAAAACCCCACAAAACAATGGATTGATTTTATGTGATGAGGACAGAAGAAAACATCAAAATTCAAAATAAACCTGGAAGAACTGAACGAGTTGTCAACCTTTTAAACTAGACAGAGCGCAGACCTCCACCAAGGCTTAATTAACTCTTTGTCACCAACTACCCTCGTAGCTAAACACAATTCAAGTTTCATCCACTGAGGTTATTATATGCCCATTAGGTCAGGTGTCCAATGCAAGACCGGAAAGTAAAAATTCTGCCATAGTTTGGCTTTAAAGTCACTGATGATGTCGTGCAGGGGTGTCAAACTCATTTTAGTCGCGGGCCAATTTGGAGTTACACCTTCCTTCTGAGGGCCGCTATGACAGTGAAACCACAAAAGTATCACTTGTACACAACAGATCAATAGATTACTAATTTTGAAATAAGTGAATTATAATAGCGTGTTCAATTATTGTTCGAGTATAAACAAGGTCACAAAATTATTGCAAAATCTCAACGTTATGTATCACACATGAGAAGTTGATATTTCGGTACAGATTTTAGCGAGTTGACACACATGATTTGCTTTCGCGGGCCACATAAAATGACCCGGTGGGCCGGATCTGGCCCCCGGGCCTTGAGTTTGACACCTGTGATGTAGTGGTACACACGCCGGACTTGTGTGCGGGCAGCGTGGGATTGATTCCCACTCAGTGATGGTGGGAATGTGGGTGGGAATGGTCGTTTGTCTCTATATGTGCCCTGCGACTGACTGGCAACCAGTTCAGGGTGTAGTCTACCTTCCGCCCGAAGTCTGCTGGGATCGGCTCCAGCAACTCCCTGCGAAAATGGATGGATGGATAATTTGGCTTTAGCCCCACTTGCTTCAACTTCCAAGGAGCTTGTTTACCTGCCAGTTAAATCGAAGCACCTGTGACTAAAGCCAAACTGTGGCAGGAATTTTACTTTCTGGACCTTTGATTCGATACCTCTGCACATGGCAACACACAACAGCTGTTTTACAGCCTTAAAACACAAATATATTACTCCCCCCACCTCTGTCTCTCACTTGTATTTGTTTTTTGCTGCTTTTTTTTTTCAGGAAAACATATTGGTCTCAAGGTACGGTATTGGGATCAGGGGATGCAGATTTCTCTGAATATTTCAGGAAAAACTATTTTGAGCAACAGGCATTCCGGAGTCACCAAAACAAACAAGTTTCCCTTTTAGCACACTCACTTCTGACCTGAAGAGTAGGATGACAAGAGACTTTTTTTGTGGCATGTTTCCATTTTACGAGTTCTTGATTCGCCTGGCAACAAGTCTGCCAGCATGAAGCCGCAAGAAGAAGAGGGAAGAAAAAAAAAACCTCTCTTGAGCCTTGTTACGATAACAACTCACTAGTGGAACATTTGCCGTATCAACAATAAGTCTTCATTGCTTGCTGACAGTTGTAAAAATAAGTATGGCTCACGGCATCGCTTCCCAGCAGGCATTGAGATTTCACAATTTTTAAAAATTAATCAAATCACGGAACTATGCAGGAGTCGTGAGAGTGCTGATAGGATCAAGCAATCTGTGCTGTTTTGCACACAGTTCCATTCGTCTCCATGTCCTTGTTCTTCGCGGTTTACCACAAAATGCACCTTTTGGTAAGTTTCAGAGTTGAAGGTTGTCACCAAAATCACTTTTCCGCGGATTCTGTATACTCATTGCTCCGATGTCATCTCCAATCTCATTTACAGCCACTGTCTGTGAAGTCTTTTTTTTTTTTTTCTTTTTCACTCAGGGCCGACAACAAGGCACTGCCAGCAGCCATGCCAGCAAACTTCCCAAAGGTAAGCTGCATTCTTAGGGTGTAACCATAACTAGTTAGCTAACTACAGATCGCAATTGGACCGAGAAACTGCTGATGTGAACAAAGGCGCATCATGACTCACGCCCGACTTTTGGTGCGTCGCTCAGCGCACTTTTAGCCACGCCCCCTAAAAATGAGCAAAACAAATGCTGAAAACAAATTTAACGCTGTATGTTATTCTCAACTATTGAAACTAAATACCGTAGTGTCCAGTCTTTGCACACTTAACATTTCTTTTCTGTTTCGACCTGAAATCGACAATATATAGATGTGGGGGGTTAAGCAGTAGACCGACTGTGTCGAGGTGTGTTCGTTGGTGCTTGGCGCGATCGCTGGAGTTGCTGAAGGCCTTGAAGCAGCCGAGGTGCTGGCAAACGTACGGCTTCTCTCCCGTATGGCTCCGCAAGTGGATCTTAAGGTTCTCCAGGCGGGAAAATGCTTTGGAGCAGCCTTCAAACTGCAGAAAATTGCAACAAAAACATACAATGCTTTTTCCTCACTTAAATATTTGACTTTGCTTTTGCCTCCATTCAACAAGGACATTTTCCCTGAAAGTCTCCGGTTTCTTTATCATGCCAACTCACCATGCACTTGTTGGGCTTTTCCCCGGAGTGCACCCTCATATGGATGAGGAGCTTGTACCGCGCGTTGAAGGGCTTTCGGCGTCGGATGCAGTCGGCCCAGAAGCAGGCAAATTCTTCGCCCTTACGCTGGTCCACGTGCACCTTTTCAATGTGCCTCGCCAGTTCCTCCCGACTCCTGCAGGTGGCGTTGCAGTCATTCCAAAGACACTGCTGGTCACGTAATTTGTCCTCTGTGGGCTCTTGTTTTACACAGAGACAGCCCTCCAGAATATTTTGAGATGGGGTCCAATCGGGTAGACTGTAGGGTACAGGAAGGGTGGGTTGGGAAGTATTGCAGATCCTCTGAGAGGTTTTAGGACCCGTAGAGAATCCATCCTCAGTTCTGTCAGGGTTGGACCTACAGGTGAGATCCAGAGAAGCCATAGAAGTCCTAGGTGCACAGCACACCCCAATGCCACCTGAGAGTATGGACGACTGGACCCCAGAATACGAAGGTCTCTGGTGCTCCTCCACATCTTCGAAGAAACCAGGAAGAGTCATCTGAGCGTCTGGCGGTCTGAGGTCCATGGGTCCAAAGTCTGGGGGCCACATCTTTGTTGTCGATGGAAAGCCGTCAAGCCGTCCCCAATATCCCTCCGCTGTTGAGGATCACATTTTTAACATCTGGAGTCTCCACTGTCAGACATCTTTAGTGCGCTGTGTGGGTAAAACAAAATTCAACATGACACCCCAAACGTTACGACCCAAGAAAAGTCCCTTTGATCAGGAATCTTAGAGTTTCCATCAGTGAGTGGTACAAGCATTTTTCGGAAACCACTTTTGCGAGAGGCATCAAAACAGATTTATAATCCACTGGCAAAAGAACACATGCAAGACATTAATATGCCATGAAAAACATTTATAGTCCAAGAAAAGCCCTTCTGCACGATTAGGTTTTTCCTGACCAACAAATAATTTGGAAAGATACACATTTTTAGGACATACTTTTGAGAGGTTGTAAATGAAACCTGTATCCAGCGTCTTGTTAGTTGGGAAAGATGACAAGCCATCTCTAGTGGCTTCACTCATATATTGCTGATGTCATTTACATCAGGTAATGAGTCATGACTACAACCCGGCCGGGTTCTTTCTTGCGGATTGGGCCCAGACGATGAGTAAGTGGACTTCTAAAGAACCAGCCGGTCTCTAAGTGTATGCTTCACACACATGCTTTACTGGTATAGTCTGGCTTACTGTTTAATGGGCTTTCCTGTAACATGGAGGCATGGGAATTGTGAGCCAATCCTAATTAGAGAGATTTAAAGTGTGTCGGTAGAGATGGACGACCTTCAGGGTTCACAGTTTAGGGTCGGGGGGGGGGGTTGCGATTCTGCCGGGTTAGAGCAGGGATGGACAAACTTCTGTTGGGAATTGTGTTCAGTGTTAGGATGCGATACTTGAATGAGAGGTTTGAGTTAGGGTTCGTTTGAAAGGTACAGCGTGCAGAATTTAGCACTATCTAGTGGTGAACAAATACAATGCAATGAACCAAGCATGCGCTCTATGGTGCCTCGGAGAAACCAAATTTCACAAGGCTATCACCAAATTCTTCAGCAGAGTTGCAAGCAAAAATTTAATCAAATTACTCCTAGTATTCCATCAAGTGACGTACGAAGTAATAGCAATTGTTACACATTGCTGGCGTCCTAATGAATGCGGAACTACGGTAGCTAAGTTTGTCTCCTTCAGGCATCCGTAGCAGAAACATGGTGGCGAAACATGGCAGCATTCCATAGGGGAGGAGCACCCTATGTAATATAATTCTCGATTACTTCACCTACAATTACAATTAAAAACTCACGTTGATGTGGGAGAACGTAGTTTTTGGCATATTATTGAAATGAATAGTGGGGTTTTGAAAGAACGTACAATGAAAAATCAACAAATGTATGCACACACTGTCTTTCTAAACCGAAAGATACTGAAAGACATGAAGCATCACACTTGACCCCCATACAAAGTCCCACAAGTAGTCCAACCATCAAGAAAAAACATTCTGGGCTGTGGTCCATAAAAGAAGAGTGTTACGGTAAAACTAAGAAAAGTCTTCCCACAAAGCCCACCGCGAGCCAGCACACTCTACGGCGAAATGGCAACCCGGTCTCATGTGGTGTCTTTTAAAGATGCACTGGCTGAGTTTAGCTAAACACAGCTGTGGCCTTTCAAAACCACCAAATGTGCGCTCTTGACTTGCAAACGCTCGTGCCTCCTGGTCCATGAAAAATGTCACTGGGATCCAGAGAGATGCAAGCACATCGATTCTCTCTCTTGTTACTTCTTAGGGCCTCAGATAACACATCAGTGACGTAACTATTTTCACAACCCGTTGCTGGGCTTTTTTAATGACCCATGAGCCCCCAATGTTTCCACAGTCATGCAGATCGTTGGCCGCGGTCCGACAGTTTACACTTGCAGGGCCCCAGTTTTCAAAATAAAATCTTGTGAGATCTACTAAGTTGTGTTTTAAAACACATTCAGGGTTAGGGTTGAGGCTTACCTTAGGGGCAGCTGGAGGTTAGGGTTTGGAAGGTTTTGTGATAAGGATAGTGGTCGGGTTTGGTTGAGGATAGGGTTTCAAGATTACGGATGGATCAAAGTTAAGGATAGAGGGTCGGGACTAAGGGTAGAATTAGAGTAGTTACGGTTAGAGGTTTAGTGTTACGGTTGGTGGTTGTTGGACAGATGTTTTGAGGGGAAGATATGGAATAACAAATTGGCTTTTACTACTCTGTCACCACTGCCTCGTCCACTGTCCTCCAAATTGTTTACACGGATGGTCAACAGCCACAAGCTACGACCAAGTGAAATCATGGCAATAGCAGGTACTTTATTGGCCTCATGCGATCAGGGGTCAATGTGAAAATAAAGTAACTTTGGTGTCATGGAAGCAGTAAGATTTGTGGTGCCTTGAGATTTGAATGAACCGAGTGAAGATGCAGCAGTTTGTCAGAACGTTAAGTCTCCTTCAATTCTCCACAAATGAGGCTTTAAGATGTTTATTGCCACTCTCACTTGATATTTGATGTCAAGCTAAACAAAGAGAACTACACTCTTTGTGTTTAAAACAAAGCACAGAGCTTTTCCTTGGAAAAGTCAAGTCAGCAAACGCTAACAAACAATAATGAATAGGATTGATGGTGAGGCTGGTAAAATTTACACCAGGGGGCGTTTATATCTATCTATCTATCTATCTCTCTATCTATCTATCTATCTATCTAGAGAGAGAGGGAGAGAGAAAGATACTGATATAGATATAGTTATAGATAGTTAGATAGATAAATTGAAAGATGGATTCAAAAAAATATTTGTATCAGTTGTTCATGTGACTTTTTTGGTCATAAATTGATACCGGATTGCGCATAAGATATTTGCCCAACGCTGAAACATCGACACAACAATTTTGCGATAGTTGATATATTGGGTAAAACACAATCATCAACAATACATGACAGTCACAGACAACAGTTATTAGATATCAGACATAGTATCGCACCGATGTCGGACATCTATTTAGCGATACTATGTTGATACTTAAAACGGTAAATATAAGGTAATTTTTAAAAGGTGCATGAATTGTGCAGTGGAAATGAATCCTTATTCGTAAATGTAAATACCGGTAGCTAGCATTGTTTTTGCTTTCAGTGGACAATTACGGCGTAAAACACATTTAGATTACTTGTTGCAGAGTTTGTTGCATGTACACCCAATGAACTCTTAAAATTGTGGAAGAAAAGTAGAATGCATACACTCACATGGCACGTCACGCAACATCTGCTTGTCACGGAGCGTGCGAGGTTGAGGTCTGAATGAGCGACTCAAAGCGTTGCAAATCAGGTGGAGGAAGGTTGCTGCTGACTGCTGAGCGTCCTTGACGTCTGCACTCTGCTCTGGTCCAAGCTGTCTGTCAGGGTGCACGCTCACGTCGCAGGCAATGCTTCCATGTGTGGCGTGTGCACATGCAGCAACAGGCAGCCCCTCCACCCCCAAAAAGAAAAGACCAACACTTATCTTTACTTTTGATTTGAATAGCAGTTATTATTGTTGTAATAGTTAACATTAATATTTCACAAGAGATGATATAGTGATATATTATTAATGTACAACAAAACAAAATCTGCGATGAAATTAACAATTACACTTGACCACAGGAAAGTCTGTAATAACTATGTAATAATTATTTTTCAAGTAAATAAAAAATGTGTAAATGATCATCTTAATAATAATCATGATAATAATAATAATAATAATAATAATAATGATAATAACCTCACAATGCAGAGGTACTGGGTTCGATTCCAGCTCCAGCCTTCCTGTGTGGAGTTTGCATGTTCCCCCCGTACCTGCGTGGGCTTTCTCCGGGTACTCCGGTTTCCTCCCACATTCCAAAAACATGCATGGTAGGTTAATGGAACACCCAAAATTGTCCCTAGGTGTGAGTGTGAGCACAGATGGTTGTTCGTCTCTGTGTGCCCTGTGATTGGCTGGCAACCGGTTCAGGGTGTCCCCCGCCTACTGCCCGAAGACGGCTGGGATAGGCTCCTTGTGAGGATGAAGCGGATCAGAAAATGGATGGATGGATGGAGAATGATAATAATAATAACAACAATAATAATACAAAATATTGCTCTAATTAACAATGAAAATCATTATGAAACATCAATGCAAGGATTTATGATCAAAACAAAATAATTATGATTGTTAGATTTTTTTTAATATTATCACTGTATTTGACCACCTGCCCAAAACAAAATCTGTGCTCAAAGTCAAAATGAAAAATGTTCAAAATTATTTCATTATTAGACCACAATAAGAAAATAGGTGATAACAGTTGAAATATACTACAAGTAAATTACTAATGTCAGAATACAGGACGTAAATAGGTGATTAAAAATATTGTTAGACAACAAGACAATACAAATCTGTGATAAAAATCTACTATAAAATGTTTGAACTATTAGAGGACACAACATTATGACCCTTGAAAACCTTTTGGAATATTTTAGTGACCTCTTATTGCTTCAAATATTAAAAACAGCTCTCAAAAGTGAAATCAAATTTTTGGACATTTTCTCTCAGAAGATTAACACCAATGTACGGGTGATTTAGAATATTGTGAAAAATGCTGTGAAACGATCTGCCTTGTGCATTTACACACACACACACACACACACACACACACACACACACACACACACACACACACACACACAAATTCTCTTGACAAAACAATGAAGTTCTTCAAAGTATTGTCCGTGAACAAATTGAGCTGACATGATCTTGCCATCACATGTCTGGATGTCATCAACACCAATATGAAGGGGTAGTGAAGCCCCTCTTTTGAAACATCTGCTCCCAGCATGAGCCTGATGGAGGAGCTTCAGAAGGATGGATCTGGTTACGCTCTGGAACTGCAAGTCGGAGTTTTTATTGGAGAATCCCAGGAAATCACACACACACACACACACACACACACACACACACACACACACACACACATGCGCGCAGTCGTAAACAAACACTGTAGAACCAGATGTACAATTGGCAAAAGAGTTCGATAAAATTAAGATACATCAACATCTTTTTGGAACTCAGGTGAATGAAACTCATCTTATGGTCCTAAGGCCATGTTGTAAACATTCGGTATTGCTTCTAATCAAAAATGATTTTGTCAAAACTATTTTGATAAACAATACAATTGATGACATTTGGGATAAAATACAGGTAACACTGTCTGGTGTTACAATACAGTATTGACATCTTCTTCTCCTTTCGGCACGTCCCTATTCAGGGGTCGCCACAGCGAGTCAGTAATTTCCATCCGCCCCTGTAAACCGTCCTACCAACTCGCATGGTCGTCTTGGCAAAAGTTTTACGCCGGATGCCATTCCTGACGCAACCCTCCCCATTTCCCCGGGCTTGGGACCGGCACTGGGGAACAGTGCACCCCCAGGGGAGGGCACTGCCCCCCAGCGGCTGGGTTACAATACAGTATTGACATAAGTTGGTCAAATATCTGTATTGTCATGGGTGTCAAACTTCATGTCAATGGCACTAATACTGTTCTTTATTTTTAAAAAGAATATATACAGTAATGGCATCATTGATTAGAATGTAAAATATTAAAACATTTTTGCCACAGTTTTTGCTAAAATTCACTGGACATGATTCTGCTCCTTCCAGTGTACGCACCTTAGCCACGTGGATCTACAAAAATGAGCTGGTCATATTTGCTCAGTAAGCTGCAGTAATACTAGTAGTCATTAGCAGTTGATAAAGAACAAATACCCGCGAGTGTGTTTTGTGTTAAAACACTTGTTGGATATTTATCCCCGTTTTTGAAGTATTCATAATTTCAACACGATGCGTTTATATCTAAATTTGAAAAAAAAGATACACATATATTTTTTCCATGTTATTTATTAAATACATATTAGCTTTGCGTTTTGAATACGTTTCGAAACCACTGCCATAGTCCAACACCACACTCTGTTGGCAGACATCAGACCTACAACACCGGCGTTACTGTTGTTTGTATGAATTGCTCAGACAAAACGATTAAAAGCTATTATAATTGGCGCTAACATACGATTGGGGAATTATTTAATCAAACATTCTATGTCCACGATGAGATAATAAGGTGATTAATTTTGAATGTATCGTCTGGAAAAATAAAAAGATCTGCGCTTCAACAACAGGTGAGCGCGGTAATATGTAACGAGGCACACCGGCGTTCCGCCTTGAGGGAGCAAGCCCTTTCTAACCACACAGAGAAAAGTACCCGCCCCATTACTGCACTCTCGCGCTGCGCGATGAAGCAAAAGCAGCGTCCCCCTAATGCGCCATTAGCCTGTGACATTAGCTGAAGACGAAGACGAAAGCTAGCTCGCTCGCTGCTCACCGGAGGCTTCACTAAAGAAGCCTGCGCTCGCCTAAAGGACGACCTAAATATCAAAATTTGAGCGATTTTACCGAAAAGCAAGCCATTTTGTGCTCGTAAAGGGTCGCGGTGAGTATTTTGTTACCAGCTATTTTTCATTTTTCCTTCCTTTTTCTTTTCTTTTTGGATTTTTTTTTCAGCGATGCTTTTTCGATTTTGCCGAGCTAGACGCTAGTCGCCCTCATCCTCCTGCTGCTCCCCAGATTTAAAAAAAAAAAAAAAAAACACTGGTTGTGGTTTGAACGACAAAAACAATTTTGGAGGCACCCTAGCTGCAGTTTCTTCCAGTTTTGCAAGTTGGCCGAGGTTGATTTTTGTGGCAGTTGTTGGGGAAACATACCTTTGACTGGACTGATGTGTTTTTGGCACGCTTTTCAGACGACGACACAATGTATCGTCTGGAAAAATAAAAAGATCTGCGCTTCAACAACAGGTGAGCGCGGTAATATGTAACGAGGCACACCGGCGTTCCGCCTTGAGGGAGCAAGCCCTTTCTAACCACACAGAGAAAAGTACCCGCCCCATTACTGCACTCTCGCGCTGCGCGATGAAGCAAAAGCAGCGTCCCCCTAATGCGCCATTAGCCTGTGACATTAGCTGAAGACGAAGACGAAAGCTAGCTCGCTCGCTGCTCACCGGAGGCTTCACTAAAGAAGCCTGCGCTCGCCTAAAGGACGACCTAAATATCAAAATTTGAGCGATTTTACCGAAAAGCAAGCCATTTTGTGCTCGTAAAGGGTCGCGGTGAGTATTTTGTTACCAGCTATTTTTCATTTTTCCTTCCTTTTTCTTTTCTTTTTGGATTTTTTTTTCAGCGATGCTTTTTCGATTTTGCCGAGCTAGACGCTAGTCGCCCTCATCCTCCTGCTGCTCCCCAGATTTAAAAAAAAAAAAAAAAAACACTGGTTGTGGTTTGAACGACAAAAACAATTTTGGAGGCACCCTAGCTGCAGTTTCTTCCAGTTTTGCAAGTTGGCCGAGGTTGATTTTTGTGGCAGTTGTTGGGGAAACATACCTTTGACTGGACTGATGTGTTTTTGGCACGCTTTTCAGACGACGACACCCCCCACCCCCTCTTCCACTCAGACACACGGCTAGGCTAAACTAGCCCTAGTTAATCCGTCTGGTTTGCTAGTTTTACATCCCCTTCATTATTACACGACGCAGACCTTTGCCGGTTTTGCTATTTTTGGTGGATATTATGATGTTTGCTGCGCATTTTTAGCTCCTTGGCTAAAATTAGCCACGCTATCCTTAGCCTAGCCGTGGCTAGGCTAAGCTCTGCGCTATAGGAGCATTTGATTCACTTGGAAGCCTGTTGGTGACGCTATTGGGGCATGTTTGATGGGGTGAGTTCGGTCATTTTTAAAGAAAAAAGAACTGGTTTTGCTTTTCTGGCTCAGACTGAACACTCGTTTATTTTTCTTTTTTGTTTTTGGAGAGTTTTTTTTTTCCTCCCATGGTGATAATCAGGATGACGGGGGCCATTTTGATGACAAGGGGACTTTTTTTCTCAATTTTATCTGGACCACAAGTGGCTTCAGTTTTGTTGCTTCCGCATTTTAATTGATTAAAAGCCTCTTTAACCGAAAGAGTATGATGGTGGTTTATATTTGTTAAAAAAAGAAAAGAAAAAGTCACTTCTCTCTTGACATGCCATTTCAGTCGTCTTGATGAACAGTAGCAGGGAGATGAAACTGTCAAAATCACATCAACGGTGACAAATGAACATGTAAGAAATCAAACACACATGACCCGAGTCTTATTCTGAATAAAAAATAACAACCCTGTCTACTGTGCAGAAACTGAGCAGCCCCCACCAAAATGAATTTCCATGCATTCGAGGCCACATAGTTAACTTAAGATGAGGACAGAAACATAATCAACATTTGAAATGGTAATCAGCAGCAAGAGGTATCAAATTTCATGCCTACAAGACCCCAAAAGATTTATTCATAAAAACATTTATATTTGTAACTGATAATTATCTCATATTTGGCAATGTAA